GTTATCAGTGAGCTGAAAATTGTTTTACAGTGTTTTCCACTTGAGCTACAGTGGAAGTTGAGTGGCAATTGACATCTTCTACCGCTATTTTTTTTCTCCCCCCCAACTACACCGTGTACTCTCCTGCATGCACGTACAATACATCGAAACTTTGTGTCTCTCACACAAACCGAACCACACACTCACCACCTAACCATGACAGATGCCAGAGATAGGCGTCAATTTTCAGTTATGACACTAGGAGAAGCACACAGTGTTATTTCCAGGGTGTGTTTGTCTGCGGGCTGGATAAGCATAAAAAAAATAAATAAATAAAAAAATAAATCAACATGGGCTTAATTGTGAGTCTGACACAAAGCTGTAGCAACTGTCCAGATAAGGAAGACGGTCAGCAAGAGTTTGGAGCCACAGAGATCACATCTGTGTGTGCGCGCCGGCCTGTTATTGCAGTATCATACCCCATTGGCTGATGAGTTGCTATGCTCATCTCTTGTTCCTCTCAGCCCCAATCAAACCTGTCACAATATGAGTCAGCGTGGCCATAAGTGGGAAAGATGCCTCTCACCATTAGATCAATCAGTTATCAGACACATCAATCAAATTTTATCGGGTGCCGAGCCACATCCGAAGCTAGAGGGAGGCATCGGCGGTGTCATGTGCTTATCAAAGCTAGCTAGTGACAGATGGAGGCTGGAGGAGAGCTGGAAGAACTGAACAAACTGAGAGGCTAAAGAGCTGAAATCTCATTTTCTCAGTGGCCTTGAGAGTGGAGCATGCTCAGTGCTGATGTTTGTCATCTCTCCCTCTCTGAGATGCTACTGCAGTGCTTCCCAGCAGGCTTGGCACAGGCTTACTCATGGACATCTCTCTTATGGAGCGATACAGTGGCCAGGCTGCAGCTGCTCAGTAGATACCTCTCTCTGCGTTTTCTTTGTTTCACTCTCTGTTTCTCATTTTTAATTTTTTTTTTTCCTCTCCCCGTCTCTCTTCTTCGCTCTCCCGTCTTACCTGTCTTTTATTCCTGCCTCTCGCACTCTTTCCCCCATTGTATTTCTTACACATTATCTCCTACTTTCTCGCTCGCATCCTTTCGCTTCCTCCTCTCTCCCTGTCTCTCATCCTCACTCCGCCCTTCCACATCTCTCTCTCACATACTCTAGTTGCTACCCTTAAGACTGTGGTTACCATGGTGACAGCTATGTGCTGCGGAAACGTCAAAGAGCCAAATCCACACAGGATCACTTCCTTGTTTAACACTTACATTCTTTTCTTCCTGTTTTTCTTTGATTTCTTGCAGCTTGCTGTAAATACCAAATAGCCACGTTTGATTGGAATTCGTCCGTGTGTTTTGCTGTGCGGCGAACGAGGCAGCAAGTGTGATTTCTGCTCTCTTTCTGGGATCCTGATCTCAGCTGTTGCTGAGCAGAGTCATTAGTAACACTCAGATTTGGAATCTCAGTTGACCTTGGCACAGCCGACCTTGAGAAAATAGCCCCTTCCTCAGGCCTCCAGATGTCACTGACATTGATTTGTGTCATGTCTCCCCTTAAGGGAGCTTCAACAGCCCGCCTCGTGACATAAGTCTTCAGTGTCTCATCACTTCCCTTTCATCTTTTGCCATTTGTCATTTATACTCTTGCGCAGACACTTACACCATATACATGGAATCACACATGGGAGACTGTCAACCTGTCGTTTTTGTTTCTAATAGCACACCTCAGTGCATTGGTCAGCTGAGGAAGCAGATGCCTAGTTAAAAGGTGAATATCAGCAGGTGAGCCTGTTTTCTGTCATCTCATGAAGAGAACATTATTTTCACTTCCAAATCTCCCCCCCTCTCCTTTTAAATACTCTTTTACCGTCTGTCCACCTCTCTTTCCCTCCCATCCTTTCCTTTTATCCTCTTTTTCTTTTCTGTTCTTGTAGAGGTTCTGTCCTCTGCCTCACCTCTGCCCTTGCCTCACCTCTGAAGAATCAAACCCAGTCGACACATGTGTGTTAAAAGCAGGCACTATACCCTACTTTAACCCTTTACACACACACACACACATATAGGCTTTGTTGGCGAAAAAGCAGACAGATGTAAACAACATAACCTAATGGCTGTTTAAAGCCATTATGTCTAAAAAGATAAACTCTGGTGCCTGTGAAAGGCCACGAGAGCTGTTGAGCGGTATCAGTGTGATGATGTGCAGGTATGCTGTTGTTAGGAGGGAGTTGCTCAGCCCCATCATACAGGGAAGCTGTCTCCCCTTTCCTGGGAGCAAGCACGGAGGGATTAGGAGGCAGGCAGAGATGGGGTCTGTGAAGCATTTATGAGCAGGGCATACAAAGGATCCATGTAAGAACTTTTAGGGGTTGGCTGCTCTTTTTTTTTTTTTTTTTTTTGGATGTGCTCTTAAAGTTATGCTCCTCCCACAATGGCCCATTGTGCCCCTCCACCTCCAGACCCTGATCCAAGGACGGCCCACGGCTGTTGAAAAACAGCAGATGCTTTCGAGTAGTCTCAAAAAAAAAAAAAAAAAAAAAGAGAGAGATTTAGATGAACATGTCCGTGACCATATTTGTATCTGGGTGTGAAAAATGGAGTTCATTTTAGGCTCTCGTTGTATTTCACAAGCTCATATACAAAAGCTCAAGCTTGTTCAAAGTCTTGTGGAGAAAAAAAAAAACTTAATTAACTTACAGTGTGTGGTCTGCTATGAATCCCCTCCTTTCCACCTTCCTTGTGTATGTTTATGCAGTTTTTTGTGCATATTTTATCTAACGCTGCCAAGAGGGACACAATTGTGGCAAATAGTTGTTGTACAACTTCCACATTTTCGCATCCATACTGCTATACGCTGTGAATTTTAGGATTTGTTTGCAGTTCGCCTCAGTCCAGCAAGTTTGCAGAAACTTTGACACAAGCGCTACATATTAATGTCCTCCAACTGATCCCACAGTTACATCCACTACGCCCTCATGTCAGTTCATGGTACATTTCACTAATTTGCATCATCTGCTTACCTTGGAGACAGTCGTGGGGTCTTGGAGGAGCAGAATCCGAAAAAATCTCGTACCAAATCCGCATCGCGTCATCCCGAATGTCACATTTCTTCTCTGCTGACGTCACAAATATCTGACACATACATGAACGCGCCCACCCACAGACGCACAGGCCTGGAAACGAGTCTCATCTTGTCGAATAGCGGTGGAGGAAGTGAGTGTTGAGATTTGGGGGGGGAGATAGGACAGCAGGGGTAGCTCTCTGTCACACCGGAGCCCCTGCCAGTCCTCAGCTACCTCTGCTGACAGATTAGATCATCGAGGACAGCCACTCAGAGGAGCGGAAAAGAGAGGAGAGGAAAGAGAAATTTGGTTTTTGAGCGAGGAAAGGCAACTACATTGGACCTGGTTGGCGTGTCAAACCTCGGCCTCCCATTGACCTCTCCAGGTTTCTTGTCCATAGATGAGGCTTACGCTATTGAGTGTGCTGACCTGTTAAGACATGACCCTTCTGCTGCCCCTTTCAATCCCTGCTGCCGCCGCCTACTCCTGAGAAACGTCAAGAATCCTCCGAGGGCTTGACTGAGACAAACCCCGGGATGGCCCCATAGATGACTCATCTACTCATTTTTTTTAAAAGCACGAGTTTCATTGAGAGTCACCCTGGTATTGTTTCAGGCTTTTTTTTTTCTTTTTGTGTGTGCGTGTGTGTGTGTGTGTTTGTTTTTTGCCGCTTAGCAGGACAGCGGTTGTTCAGTCAGTGTGAAATTAGAAAACCTCGCTCTGATATAGCAGCTTAAAATAAGACAGAGATGATCATGTAGTCACAGTTTGGGCTACGTCAAATGAAGATGAACAGATTAGCAGCAGCGTTGTTAAGGTTCTGTTTGCATTACATATTGTTTCACCAAAATCTGAGTAAATATGGTTTTTTATTTCTAATATTCAAGTCAGGCAGGGAGTTGATTACCTCTTTAGCAAGCAAAGGACCTCTACTGGCCTTCACCTTGGTCCTGTCCTACCTTCATCTCATCCGTCTCCCCCTTGCCCTATTTTTCTTTATGCTTCAGAGTTGCCTTAATACCTAGAAAATACTACAGGTAAGAAAAGGTGAATCACACATTCACCTTGAAGAAGAAAAAAAAACAAACAACTTTTTAGTTACAGTAATAAGTCAATATAAAACTGGTTTTAATGTGTCTAAATCCTTATCTCTGTATGGTCATTGATGACACCTGGCAAACAGCGACAGCGAAAGAGAGAGATCCAACCGTAGGCATGCTGAAACTCGCCTGCAGTGCAGAGAGAGGTACTGACAGACGAGTGAAGTGAGGAAGGGGAGCAACCCAAACGATGATTTTGTGTAATTTCGCAGTAAGCAGTCTGTCACAGATTGCGATCTGACATTCGGCACCTCACACAACGCTCTCTTCCACGTATCTGCAGAATCTGTGCTCGGCAAATGCGAACCAGATGTGAAGTGTTTTGGGACCTCGACATCAACCTGGCAAGGGCAGGTCTCCGCCTGAATTATCTGGGTGGGGTCAGCGGTGCAGAGGGGACAGCTTAACTGGTCTCAGTTCACATTTGCACAGGTCATTACCGGGGAGAAGATGCTGCCGGGGTAACAGAGTTGGCTGCAATGGAGCTCGAATGGGCCAACTTGAGGTTTCTGTGTGGACTCCTTGGGACCAGACTCGCTCTGTCCTCAGTTGTGGCTGCAGGGCCTGGAAGAGCTTCTGCTTATCTGATAGATCCAGTAAGGGAACAGTTGATTGCCTTAAAGCAATGGGAAATGCCTTCCCTGCTCCCTCCCTCTTTCTTCCCTCCCTCCCTCCATATTCTCTCTCTTCTCCCCTCTTTCCTCCTCTCTTTCTCTCTCTGCTCCCTCCCCTCTCTGTCTCCCTCTCCCTCCCTTCCTCTCTCTCTCACTCTTTCACTCTCTCTCTCTCTCTCTCTCTCTCTCTCTCTCTCTCTCTCCTTCTGCCCTGCTGTGAGTAGGTGGTTCCTCGCTGTACTTGATTGGTGCGAGTCTATATAGGAGGAGAGACGCTCTAACAGGCTCAGAGTCTGGTGGTGCCCACTTGCCACACGTTCCCAAAAGGACTACCTGTTTTTTTTTACAGTTTTTTTTTTTGTGCTCCTGCGTTCTGTGTTTCCCTGAGAGGATTTACTTTCTTCCGACAGCATGACGGAAAGCAAGAGGAAAGATAGGAAAGGGAGAAAGAAGGGGGGTAAGAAAGCACAAAAGGAGAAAGAAGGCGATCCCACTACAGGTAAAATTAAATTGAAGCTGGTTTCTGTGTAACATGTTTTTACTTGTGTGTGTGTGTGAGAGAGACTAGGAGAGGCTGAGACAGACAGAGAAAGAGAGAGAGAGAAAGAGTTGCAGGAAAAAAAAGAAGAGTGAGATTAAGTTTGTCTTACTATGTTACGGAAGTGTGGGAAAAAGTGAGTATCCCCTTGGCTTGTCAAAGCTTGCCGCCAGGTTGTCACATGGATTGGTCTTCAAATACGGTCAGTGTGAAAGAGGCACATCTGGTTTTGGCAGCACTTTGGAACTGTATGGAAGTCAAATGATATCTCTTGTGTATGAAATCAAGAAAAAAAAGAAAACTTTTAAAACAAGCTCCGGACTTCATGGAGCCAAAGAACAGTTGTGTTATAAGCTCTGTGAAAACGACTGACTACTGGCTAAAACTGTGCTGTGAAGGTTCTTTGCTCATGGTATGTCAAATATCACAGGTTGGGGGAAGACAAAAAATCACATTTTATCATTAAATAGATGTTTGTATAGCAGAAAACCATATTTCATGATGCACTCTTTGACAGAGTTAATAATTTAAGGGTCTCTACAGTGTTTTCACTGCTCATCTTAATTCGGAGTATGTGGTGAGTCATCCAGCATAAAACTCTGGCTGTATTTTTTGCTAAAAGCTGCTTTGACATTAGAATAGCATGGGAGCTGTTTGTCTTTCACATTCACAAAGGTAGCAATGTGCTTGCTCAGTAGTGGATCCTACAAGCTGCAGCATGTCACTGTAGTTTGACCTCAGGTCATGGGGAAGCCCAACCCCCGTTTCAGTGACACTTTTAAGGACAATACCACGATTATAACTATAGTTACCGTGTGTCATCCTTTTCTCCATCAGATACTCTATCTTAGACAGCATCTCTGCATCGCGGTAGTCATCTCTACCTGCTGATGTCGCTCCTGCCAACTTCTAACAGATAACCCCCGAGATTGGGTCTAGATTTTTCAGCAAATGTAATTTGTGAGGGGTTTTACATCTTTAAACGGTGCCATTTTCATCATAAATATTCCACTGTGTCTGTCTTTTGGCATCTGAGGTTGATATGATTGTTTTATTACACATGCAAAGTTGAATATCTAAATAATTACTGGCCCTCAAGTTTGATTGTGATCTATAAACACGTAAGATAAACAGCTCCCCACACTACACCACACACAGAATATTTTCTTTGGCGTCTTTGTTAATCAACGGCACGGCTGCCATAGAGAACAGCTGCGTGTAATGCTCATATTCTGGTTTATTTTCTCTGGGTTTCACAAAATTACACAAGTTTAAAATAAACGATGCTTGAATCTTGTTGTATTTTGGCAATATGCACGTCTTGTTGTTACTGTAAACGTCTTTGCAGCTGCCGTCCATCGACACACGTGTCAAGTCAGTTACGAATGTATCATCCAGATCATAATCCGGATGATACTTTATGATTCATACATCATGACAAGATAAGCTGATTTTGAATCATCATTTTCTTTGGGAAAATTACAATATCCCCCCCCCCAAAAAATGGATATACGTTTATCTCGTGTTAAACTGTGTTTAAATTGGAGCTTTCAAAGTAGGTCAGAATGAAAACATGCTCATGGCTGATGCTTGTTGTGTCTGTGCTGCTGGTACATGTAACACGTCAGGTGTGTTATGGGCCTAAGGCTCCAAAATGGGTCATTCAGGAGATAAATGGAGGAACCAAACTGCACTTTCACAGATGAATCATCTTTTCATTACCTCTGTCTGATTTGGATCTTTAATAAAAAGTTTCCACCTTTCAGTTACCTGTGACGCCACATCGTTAAGGATGTGGTTTGTCAATAATCCAAACGAGGAAGACAAGCAGAAATGTACATGGCCTCAGAACAGCATGAGAGATTTCTGTACATTGACTTTGTTGCCTCTGTTTAGTTCAAGCAACAATCAAGGATCTTTCTAACTCGCTTTGCTGGCGTGCTAACTTAGCGGCACATTTACAATGTAGTGCTCAAACAGACAAACATAGATTATCTGTCTGCTATTCTCATGCATTCACCAGAATATGGATATGTAATGTCTAATTTGCACAAACCATTTCAAAACCACACAATAGTTTGAGGCGATTCCACAGCAGCTTCTACAAAATACTTCAGCTTCACTTTTTTTTACATCTATACAACAATATGCTCCATTATGGAACACGTTATACAATCTACTGCGAGTGTGTGCATGTGTACACGTGCTTGTGTGGCTGAGGTGTGTCAAAATATAATTTCATGCAATTTAACATGAGAGATCTTCTTCGGTTGCGAGACTGTCAGTTAACCATCACAGGACACGCCAGGAAGGAAAATAAAAGACAGTGTTGTCTAGTGTTTCTTGGGTTAATTTTGCACATCAGGCTAGTTTTTGCACATTTATTTAAAGAGTTTCTCTCACAGCAGGTATCCCTCAGCTATAATTGCCTCTTCACTGGCTGTGACGTCTTCAGCAGTTGGACCAGAGAGTTTTTCAAAGTGTTGATTCAGGGCATGCTGCTGCTGAAGTGTTACATGATTTCCTTTCACGTCTCTCTCTTTTTTTTTTTTTTGAAAGCTGTGTGCATTGTGGCTGTAAGTTGACACTCTTTTGAGAAAGTTGGCTTTTCTAATAAAACAGGCCCAGGGTTAGAAAAGGAGAACTTCTGCAGACCCAGACAAAGACGATTCTTCCAAAATCTTGCTTCTCATTGGACAGAGAAGACATTAAAGAGGGGGAACATGTGCAGGAACTTTATTGCAGCAGTTATTTAATCCAATTTGTAATCACTTTAATCCAACATAAACGAATGTCTCTCTTTTTTGAAGTAGTAATTTGATATCTTTGTCCCGTCTGCCTAACCCCAATAAATAGGCTTCTGCTGATGACGATGCTATAATTCATGAAGCTCTACCTTGTTCTTATCTTATGCCAAGACAAAACACAACAAGTTCCTTTCTGTGTGGCTGGGTTTGCGTGCGTTGTGAGGGTGGTAATAATTAGTTACGGACGTGAAGAGATGACTCCTTCATTTTGTGCCAGATTTTTTTTTATCGTGTACTAACACCTACCACACCTTTATAATCGAAGCAGAACTACTCGGATTATTCAGCAACAAAATGTTTTATGGAGACCAGTATTCATAGGAGGTGCTCGTGAAGCCTCAGACAACCTCAGGTGAAATCTAGCTTCCCATAATTGCTCTTACAAAAGAGCTTTTTGGTGTTCTGGTACAAACAGTCACCGGAAATATGAAAACTAATAAAAGTCAGCCAGTAAAACATCATTCAGCCAACCTGTATGTACAGCATCATAGTGCGTGTAGAACATCTACACATTTGCACATAGAAATCCCCCCCACACACACTTTTTTTTTCTTTTGCGGTAACATCACTGTCAGTGATGGTCTTAGAACATGACTAACCAAAACCACAAATTGGTAGGCAAACAGACGTCTGGAAGAGGAGTTCTTAAAGAAATGCCTAGTCACAAATTATGATTAACTTTAATTTGAAGGCAATCTTTACGTGATACATTGGAAATTGCAGGTTTAACGAAGACTTCCTTGAGATTCTGTGCATTTTCAGCAATTATGATTTATGAATTTTCATGACACGTATGCAGGATTTCCCTGGAACACCACCCTAATGTAAAAGCTTGTTCGTCAGTGTCACTAGCCCAGGACAGTCGCAGATGTAGGTTTAACACTAATCACTGCGACAATCTGAAAGTATATGTAGCTCAAACAGAGTTACTTGGGCATCTTGTCTTTGTTTGATCTAAATTTATTGCTTACTTTCTTAACATCCAGCTTTCTTCAGTAGCTCTTTGTAAAACATTTCCTCGCCATTTCAGGCATATAAGTATATAGGTAGTGAATATCCAGTATGTCTTAGTTTGAATATTGTATTAAGTTCTGGAAGTCAAGAGCCAGAAGGACCCAACAAGGATGCAAATCAAAATGAAGGGCTGAAAGTAGCTGAAAGCTTGGTCGAGCTGTACACCAGTTAGTTCTACTGGTTAGTGGAACAAACCAATACGAATGTTTTGTTGGAAAAACTTCGGTGACATGGCTTTTTTTTCCATTTGTACATCCCATGACTTCTGTGGCAGCAGATGATCATTTTCATACAGTATTTGCATGAACCTTTTTGCAGCACATTTGGGTCATTCAACACAACAGTGAGTACTGTGTACAAGTACTGTGAACACTTCCTCTGCATGCATATAAAGTACTAAACAGTAAGTAGTGCTGTGCTTATTTTTTGAGATTTACATAAAACTGATTGATTTGTCCAGGATGTACACAGTATCTTACCCAGTATTGGATGGATGGATGGATGGATGGATGGATGGATGGATAAAACCAGTATTATAAAATAATTCATTTTATAATTTAAAAGACATAAACTCTCCAGTTATAACTAGTTAACAATTATTAATACCGTGTTCTTCATGAAAAAAACAGCAGTAACATTGTGGCAGTTGTAAATCATTGTAGCTTACATTTTCAATACAAGTTTACACCGTGTAGCTTATAAATAAGCATCTTTGAGAACATGATTTAGGTACAATGGTAAAGATTACTTTAGAACACGTGATAACTTATAAAGAGATGACTCTGGACTGGTTCAGCATGTAGGTGGGTTTAGCACTATGACATGGACATGGTAGTCATAAACCGACTTATGTGAGCAAAGGGGTTGATCTCGTCAAGTTACCCAATGCATAAGCTGTAGAAGTTTGTGCAGACTTCTCCCAAAAGCCCAGATATTTCTTGTATATCCAGAACTGTTGCAGTCCAATTTGCAGTTAACTCGGCAATACCGAACTGCTTAAGCACTGAAACAAATGTAGACACAGTTTTGCAATCACTAACTGTGGATGCAAATCAGTGCAGTGGCAAGGGTGGAGAGAAATGTGGTGGACTGGTAAAACTTCCAGCTGCAGAATAAACATCAAACTCCAAACAGAGGCCAGTCCACTCCTTCTAAGCACACAATGGTTTGGCTTCTTTTGGTGCTAATGAAACCAGTGTGGTAGCACTTGTGATGGTTTTGTGGTGCTTGACAGTGCAACCCAACAAAATAAAAATAGAAGTGTTTTCAAGTCGATGTTTACATTATTTGTTCTATCTTTGTGCCTGTTAGATGACTTGATATTTGCAGAAACCCTGACAACTTTACATAGTGTCAGTGATGGATTGTTCAGGAAATTCGTAGAAATGAGAAGCATGGAATTCTGTTCATTAAATCACTTTCGATTAGTTTCGATACAAGAATAGTGTCGTAGAGAACGAAACTTTTCAGTTATCTGAATGGTAGGTAAAATCAGAACAGCAGTAACTATTTCTATATGGCATGCAGTTTTGGTAACACGAGTGCATTGAGTCATATGTAAACAATGTACCAGATAATTATTTGGTGAAAGTGTGTTGCTTGTGGTGGGAGTCTGTTGAAATGATCTCTTTGAACAGATGTTGTATTACAGTGACTAGTGTGTAGTGTCTGAAGACCATTCCCACATGCAAAACCCATTTCTCTGGCTGTCTTACCATGTAATTTGTCTTTTGACAACGTGCAGAGAAGTGACATAACACCGGAGTAATCAGGGATACTTTGTCTGGAAGGGGGAAACACAAAGGCATGCCTCAGATTCCTTTTCTAAGCTCCTGGAAGTAAAACAGAAATGTTAACTCAATAATATGAGCAATGCATTGTTAATTCATCAAGTAACTTTGTTTTTGAACAACTTTCTAGGCTGAGGTTTCCAACTGTTACCCAAAGCATGAGCTGTTGACACGCCGGATAGGCTTCTATTCTCAAATTGGGTTTTTATAGTCCATGTCTGCAGCTGCCCCTGTGCTTCAAAAAGAGAGAATCAGGCTGTTGTTGAGGAAAGGGTTTATCATTACTGCCCAACACTCTTTCCAAGCAGCGCAATGGAAAAGAAGACAACCATTTGTCTCCTAGAAATTAGTTTATTTTCAATGATATCGTCTTGTTATTTTCTTCTCGGAAAACATTAATTGCAATTAGTGTAATTAACTTGCTTTATGTTGAGTATGCTTGACTTGATTGCACTGTAGTTAATTTGTGTTCATCAAACTGTCTACTGTATAATCCTGTTTTTCACATGTCATTCCAAACATGAGCAACGATATCGCTGACCGAGGAGTTTATGGATTTCACAGAGGGTTCGTTTTGTTTGTGTATTTTGCGTGAGGCAGATGAAAGACATCATTTGATATGAATGTGGATCCTTGCATGGTTTATTGTTACAATCGAATGCATCTTAGTGTCTGATAGATCACCGTGTGTTGTAGATGGAGCTGACTCTCTTGCACATCTGGTTTAGTGCGTTGATGAAAAGTGCAGACCTGTGTTTCTGTAAGTTCTCTAGTCAAGGACAAAGCTTGTTTAATTTGCTTGGCAAGGACAGACCTGCGTCCAGACAGAGTACCAAACATTTTTCTATATGGTGCAACCTCATTCCTGCTGTTCCCTGACTATGACTGACGAGGCTTTCCTCGGGCAGTGTGCAGGGCTGAGTTTGGCAGAGCTGAGTGTGTGTGGAAATCATGTACAGTAGTTCAATTATTCAGACTTGGGACTTTGGGCTCAGGCAGACTTTTGTAAGTTCTGTTCTGCAAGTTTTGTAAGTCATTAGTTATAGCAGTACACAACGATTTTCTAATTAGATTACAGCGAAATTTTATGACAAGCAAACATGCGTATCAACCACAACACGTGCACATGTTATTGTATTGGTCAATGCGCTGTGTGGTTGCAAAACTCGGTGGTTTCGTTAATGAAGCACATCTGGAGCATCAGGAGTCTCACGCTCTGTGTATGGTCTCGCTTCGGGCTATCGATAAACCCTCACCACTTCAGAGTTGATTTTAAATGGCAATATGCAGTATATGTTCAGCCTATATAACGTTATGACTTTCTGCAAAACCACATTTATGCCGTGCTGCATAAATGAGGCTTTTATTGTCCCAAACTCTTGAGACAGTAAAATCTCGAACTAACTGCTCAAGCAATTGCAGCACAAAGATTCATCTTGAGACCGTAAGCTTATTAAAGTCGCTAAGTACCATGTTACAACGGCACATCTGCCTGGCCCAGACGCGTTAGAATCTCTGTCTTTATTTTCCAGTTTCCAAGAATATCATCGCTCACATTTTCCAACAGGATGCTGTTCACAGATAAAAGTCCCCCTGTCTTACCAGAGTAATTTTAGTAACAAACGGCTGTTTTTGAACTAAAAATAGTTGCCTTTCCATTGATCTGCGTTGGTTGTGAGCTATTTTGAATTTGACATTTTGCTATCTGTGATTCCAGAGGAAATCAGTGGGTACATCAGACAAACAGCTCTCTTAGTATATGCAGTATTTTGGGATAATCATGCCAGCTTAAGATGTGAGCTGCCCTTGTTTTTCAAAACTGGCCAGTGGTGAGTCCTAAAATGGTCAAATACCATTCTGCTCTAGATTCAAACAAATGATATTTTACAATTTCTTCAGCACTGGGAATGAGTGCTTAAATAGGAATTACTTTAATAGCAAATATTTAGAAAATAGAGGATAGATGATAGTCGACCTTATCTACACTGTGTCGTTTTTTATCACGACCAACTACACAAGCTGTTCAGTGACTGGTACCAAAGAGATCCTCGGCTGGGACTGAGAGCTGTGACCTCTGGCTCCTATCAGGAGTATTAGTGCCAAGTGACCAGAGGAGGCAGAGCAGAGCTTCAGTGTCAGGATGTAGATGGAGGATACGCTCTCAGGACACACTGTCAGGACATACTCACAAGCTCGGTTGGCACAGAGAGAGCTCCTTAATATCCACATCAATCAGGCTTACACAACTTTAGAAAAGGCTGCAGTTTCTATGTGAATACTTGTGCATGTGGCTGGTGGTAATAAACAACCGTGGCCTCTGTAGAACTGACAAGGAACCATTCCTTTAAAATGCTGCAGAAAGACAGTGACTATTTCACAAGTGTGAAAATGCAGTTCTGGATTTCAAACCAAACTGTACCCCAGAGCCATCCCAACTGTCCACTTAAATCCACAAAGAAAACAAAAACTGCTGCATCATTAGGGCTTTTCTTTCTGTGCAGACGTGTCGCCTTTACCAGGTCAGTGAAGTAGGACAGTCCCTCCAAAAAGAGGACAACTGGGGATAATTTTGGTGCACCACTATTTCAGTGTTTAATTGAAGTCATTACCTATGTGTACTTCAGTTTGCTTGTCATGATTTGTTTGTCTTCATACAGCTGTCATCCTTTAGAGGCGATGCACAGCAAACAGCTGTAATTTGTAGGACAACTCAGTTCAACATATGCATGAAATCGTAAATGTTACACAGAGAGAGACAGAGAAAGAGTGTGTGTGTGTGTGTGTGTGTGTTTGGAGGTGGGGGGGGGTATCTTGGCCAGCCCCTGGCTGACCCTTGTTCACCCCTTCTCTCTCGCTCCACCCTGGATGAGTCTTCTCCTAAACATGTGTGCAGCTGTCAGCTGGCAAGTGTTTGTGTGAGTGTGTGTTGTGTGTGCATGTGTGTGTGTGTGTTTAGATGCAGAACATTTTCAGATTTCAATTAAGCATTTTTTGCTTCGGAAGACGAAAAAAAGCTGCAAGAAAGAATATCAGACTATACCAATGCGATGATGGTAGATGTGAGAGTACCGAGAGAGAACACAGAGTATTGCTAAAACGTTTTAATCTGCGATAGAATGTACAGTTTTTGCAGTTCTACAAAGTACTACAGCGGACAAAAGAGCTGATTAAAGCTCTTTTCCTTTTTGTTCTCATCATGACAACAAGCTTATTATGGTATCGTAATGATACTGGCTTTTCTTGTTTACAGATTGCCTTTAATTGCACATGAGTTTGTGGTTGCAGATTTTCTTCATCTGCTGGTAGATGTTTGCTAAATATTGCTTCAGGTGTTTTTATAGCAGCAACGCCAGAGTGAAAATCGGCTTGTTTATTAGTGTGAGGCAAAGTTGATAATGTCTCTAGTGACAACATCTGGAGGTCACACGAGAGAGCTGTTGGCTCGGTCCGTAGAGATGACGATTGGCTCGACTGCTGTCTCTCTGCGCTCCCATGTCTTAAACACACAGTTACACATGAACTGAACCATGATCATGTCTGCGTCTATATATTGACATTGAGTTTTTTTCTCTTTCTTTCTTTTAGCTGCGGCTCCAAAGTTAAAACCGATGAAGAATCCAATAATAGTGGACGAGGGAAGCAGGCTCACGGTTAAGTGTGAGGCCACAGGAAACCCTCTCCCTACCTACAGATGGTTCAAAGATGGCAACGAGCTGAAGAAAAGCAAAAAAGTCAAAATAAAGAACGGCCAGTGAGTACAAATCACCCATATCCTGCAAACCTAACACAAGCAAAGCGAGATGAAAAGAGATGTAGGTACTCTGAAGCATTGCTGGTATTATAAGCAGACTGGGCTAATGCAGCTTTTCTTTTTTTTATTTCGTATTTGGGATTATGAAGGTTTACTCCAAAATGTAAAGTAATTATTCTGCATTCAGTCAATTTTTCTCTTACATTTTAAAGCAGTACATTATCAGCATTCAGTTCAATACCATTGCCAAGTTACAAGTTGCAGGTTTTTCTTCCGAGCTTTTCTTGTTCGCTGTGTGCACCACTGCATATACACTTGACCTTGCTTCCTCTGTTAACTTCAACCTCTAGACTTCACTTTCGGGCTGATATTGCAGTCATAAATTACACTTTGAAAATTCACAGAAAGAGTTAAAACTGACTCTGCAGTTTGAGTTTTGCAGATGCCTCTTTTTGATAATATTCTTTGGGGGAAATTACTTTGCAACCTTGATAACAAAAAAAAATAAAAAATTGGCATCAAAAGTGCCTGATGATGCCATATCCAGCTAATTTAAGAGTAAACTGGATGCTAACGATAGCATAAATAAAGGTAGAGTCACTGATTCTAATCTAAATGAGTGAAATTCAGCAAATACCGTACACCCTCATGGTCACTAAACAACAAACAAACTTGGTGTTCAGCTCTGGCTCTGTAAATGGGAAACATGATCTACTCAATATTCCAGGGTGTTTTGTGCATATTCATTCTCACAACCAGGTCAGGGGTAAAGGGAGGAGATAGAGCAAAGGGGGGTGGAGAATGTGGCAAATGTTAACTACCCAGTCAATATCTGAAAAGAACAAACACTTTTCAATGTGCATCAAGTTGCTTTTGAGTATAAAATACCTCAGATTTAAAAAGTGGGCAATGCAATCATAAAATCTCCTATTCATATAAGAATATTGACACAGGACAGAGCTTTAAAACAATAGGCTGGCTAGTTCTTACACCCTGTCCTTTGCTTTCTTATTATAAGCAGCCCCCCCCGCCCCCAGAGTAACCGATCATGTGTCCCCACCAGAGCAGAGCTGGTGCCATGCTGCTGCTTGCCCTTGTTGTCTGCCTCTCTGTCCCCCATGTTTCCACTTGTTGCGTTTCCATGCTGCTTCCTCCCTGCCCCGATTCCCCTGACTCAGCTGTGTGAGTGTTGTCACCCACAGGAAAAACTCCAGAGTCCAGATCAGCAGAGCAAAACTGGAGGATTCTGGGAATTACACATGTGTGGTGGAGAACCCGCTGGGAAAGGACAACTCCACTGGCACTGTTAACGTCCAAAGCAGTGAGTACCGACTCCTAAGCAACAAGCAAAGTGGCACAGATGCACTGGCATTGTTGTTGTTATGATTGTTCTCTTGCCAATTGAGAGATTCAAAGGAGCCATCGCAAACAGGCATGTAACAGCGGTAACACGCATGAAGAACAACTGTCCACACATGTGGCTCTGGCCCGTTAATCAGCGGAACAGTACATTGTACTCGGAGGTGAATGGAATTTAAATGCAACGTATGGCGTGTTATCTCAGTTTGTCATTCGCTGCAGTTTGCTGGCAAGATCCCACAAAAACTGCACCGCACGCTGCCTTTGACCGTCACTTGCACACAACAAAAGCGGCAGACTACAGATCTAAATCTAAAACATAGCTTGACAGAATATGAAAGTTGTAGAAAGTGTCTTCGGAGTGTGTGTGATAGAATCTAACAGGCCTGTTCAGTAGTGGTGTGTGTGCATCGCAGAATTTTTTGCAAACTGCTGTAGCAGATGAAAGAGTTTTGATAACAGCTGCTTCCATTTGGTGGGGTGGTGAGTTTGTGTTTGTTCCAAGCGGTGCGGGTAGTGAGTTTGTGGCTGCTGTGGGTAGTTTGTTGTCTAAGTGCATGGAGCCAGTATTTTAAAAAAAAAGAAGAAGAAAAAGGGGGGAAAAAAAGTTTTAAGCACCTTACAGAGCTGATACAATTCATGCAGCTCTGCTTCTGCCTCTTTTCAAGAAAAAGGACTTGATGTTATCTGCTGCTGGACTGTCAAAGAGCTGTACGGCAGGTTGTCTGGCACGCAAGAGTCAGAAACTGCTTGATGTGCTTGAGGAAATGCAACCTCCTGCTGGTACATTGAGTTCACCTGGCTGCTCCGTCTGAAGATTGCTGAATAACGGCTCGAGACTTTGATACTGTACAGACGAAGGGCTGCGATGCTGGTGCCAAAAAAAAGTCAGCGCAGATAGTTTTTTAATCAAACTTACGGTGCATGACGACATGTTTGAGTTGACCACTTACTGGTTTTGCAGTTTTAAACAATGTGGCACTTCCTCACCACAGAGGGAGATGTTCTCATTGCTGACCTTGACAGCTGGGCGATTTCTGTAGACATCTCACACCAGCAGAGGTGTAGCTGGTGAGGAAAAGGGAGGGACTGGAGTTTAGCCATCACTCAGTGTCCTTGTATTCACATTCAGGCACAATAATCACTCCCCCTTCTCTCTTTACATTTGTCAAGGCCACCTTTTAGAGCTATTGTTTACGGTTAGCAGACTTAAGCTGCGCTGCCTTATTAGACTAGCGGCTCTTTTCAGATAAAGAAAGGACCCATTGTGTTTGGCATCACGGAGGCTCTCAGGGGTTCCAACATGCAAGTTTGATTTCCAGCAAACAATTGAGCAGAAAAGAAGTCATCCATCTTGTATTTAAATAGGGGCTACACATTGCCTCTTTTTCTTTTCTGACATCTTTAAAGCTTCGGTTGAGTTTTATTGCCGGATCGTGTGACTCCGCATCTCGCGTCCGCTTGTTATGACACTTGGCTTTATTCCAGTGCAATGGTATACTTCCTGTTAACTCGTGAGCATGTAATATTTAAAGGGTCAGTGATGCAAGATTCCAAGACATGCTGTGTGCTAACATTTATGAAAAATTAATTGGACGAAACGGTAATCACTGAGCAACAATGACGTTTAATGGCAATTAAATAAAATAGGTTAAATCGTGCTCTGCGCCCTGCAAAGGTTGGGGGGAATCCCTGGTGGTGGCACCTGTTTGCCTCAGTGTTTAATGAAAGCTTATGAACATGTGGCTGGTGGCCCATGAAACTGTATATGATGATCTTAGCAGGCAAAAGTGCTGGTAATGCAAGAATATCAAAGAAAATATAATATTACAAAGCAATGAACAAGAGGGCTGAGGCGCACAGTAGCCACAATGGATAAAACATGACTGAACAATGATACGGTGTTTTCACTTGAACTTAAACGTGATATCCCCACATCTGGTGCAAAATATATATCTTTGATAAACAGGGTGCCAACTGTTAAAGCTTATGTTAACGCACATTTTGTCCGTATCTGTGCCCACAGCCTTGAATCTCATACACTTTTTTTTGTGTGTGTGTGTGCGGCTTTGTGTAAAATGCATCTCTGTGTGCTCTTTGTGTGGTTGTCTGTCAGCACTGTCATTTCCCTAAATCACTCCTGGATATTCCGAACAATGGCATCACTGTATGTCCTTTCATGTGCGATGATCACTAGATGTCTGTCTTTGTGTGTTTTTGTTTGTGTACGTGTGAATGTGTTTGTTCACAGTTCAATAAAAAAGTCCCATTGTGCTACAACAGCACGCCTAGTTCTGTCATGCTTCAGGGAAGAAGGCAAGACGGGGCGAATCAGGGGCGACATGTCCATAGGCAGGGGGAGGGCTTCATTCAAAATACATACGTCATTAAAAGGAATTGGCAGCAAACAGTGCATGTTGCTGTGCTTATCATGTGCTGGTGAGAGGCTAAAATCAGCAGATGTTGAGAAGAAAGGCACTGTGCATTTGCAGGGAATGTGATAATAATGGTCTTTCTCCATCTAAGCATATTTCACTTAAAAAAGAAAAAAACATCTGTGTGAACCAAACGCACCATTTGCCTGATTTTGATGCAGAGGACATGTAATTCGTTTAGACCGAGAGCTGCTTTTCATCCTAAGGTCATAAGAGAAATAGCAATTGTGTTAAAGGGCTGCAGTGGAGTATGCGTGCCTGCTGCAGTATGTTGCCGAAGCAGCATGTAGCCGCAGTATTATCTGTGTATGTGTGCCTTCTAGGGAGGGAGAGTGAGGGGAGGGGTGCAGATGTAGATGGACAGAGAGAGCAAAAGAAGAAGAGAGCGTGAAAAAAAAGGGAGAGTAGGGGGTGGGGGGGGACACAAAATGAGGGAATGCATGACAGAAAGCAGACAAAGACATTAGAGTGGAGAGCGAGAAGGAGATACAGCAAGAGGGAAGAGAGACAGACACTGAGGCAGAGAGAGAAAAGTATGAAGAGGAGGAAGACATGAGCCCGCTGTGTTGCAGAGGAGAGTTTCACACCCATTTTACAATGCAGTTAGTGCTCGCGAGCTTTGTCCAAGGCACCTTCATACTGTATCTGATGTCTACATTCACATTCACTGCCTTTTTCTCCTCCCTATGTTGTAACACTGACAGTATCTGGTATGCAGGCATGCTAACACTGCTTGAACCTGCTTTATCAAGGTGAAATCTCCGAGGAAAAACACAACGATTAGAAATCAGCTTTCACGCCGACTTGCACAGGCATAAAGTGAAATGCTCGGATGACGGATTATGGAGTCAAATCTGTAGCAGCTCAGCAGAGAAGCATCATTCTAACCCTCGCACTTGGTTACAGTGTAAGCACATGGCTGTGCCTGCCTGCTGTCTGTTCTGGTGAACACAGACTTTGGGAAACCGGCACTCAGCTCCACCACATGGTGAACGGAGGCCACCACACCCAGCTCAGCATATCACACCGACTCCTGCACTGTGCCACTCACTGACCGGACTCACTGGTGCGTCTGTGCGAGAAGAAGAAGGCTGTTAAATAATATGCATTTTAAATTGTTAAGTTATTTGTTTATTTTTCTTTGATTTTTATGGGATAGATGGAGAGTGGCATTTTTCAGCGCTGTGATTTTCGCAGCAGAAAAACATTTTGTCAGCAAGTCAGAATAGTTGCTTTGAATTGAAATGCGTAGCATCAATTAATTACACAAGGTGTGGCAGACAAAAACTCTCACGTAGCCCTCAGGTGTGATTAAATAGGAGTTGCCTAAACATTTCTTAAATTAAAAAAAAAAAGGATTTGGTAAGAGTCACTGCCCCTTTGCTATTAAAAGCGAAAATACAAAAGCTCTTCTTATTGATACTAAACGTAACAGCTGGTCATTACTCAGCCCAACACATTAGTGCAGCAAGACAAATATATCATCCGTGCAACTCCGACTCGAGATGTGGAGCAACTACCTTGAATCAGCGTGTTCAGGGCTGAACCTTCCCTCGAACTGAACCCCTTTATGCATTCTAAGGCATGCAGTACGTCATGGCTCCATGCCAGCCATGCAGTTTGCCAATAACATTGATTGATTGGACTTGTGTGGGGATTTTACTCATGTCTTTTTTTGTTGGACCAGTCGACGAGAAACACGCACTGATTAAGTGCCAGTTACTGTATAATTATTCAGCACAGATGGTTGGAAGTTCAGCTGAGTCGAATGTTTAAGTTCCTTGTTATCAGTGTTTCGGCCTTAAGACCCTTTTAATACTCTCCGTCTCTTTGGCTGCTTTGGCTCCGCTTGCTGCTCGGGAGATTTGAAACACGAGATCAATCAATGGAGCAATTTTTACAATCTTCTGAGTCTTTTCTGAATCCACAGGACTTTGCTCCGTGTTTTATTGTTCGTGTTTTGCCAACTCGGGCATTGTGACAGAATGCATATCAGCGTACAGCATGTGTGTGACTGTGTGCTTCCTGATGGTTTGAAATATCATATGTCCTGTAAGCAGTCTGTAACAATTGCTGCCTTTTCCAGAGTGGTGTTTTCAGTCTTTTGCCCAACCCCCAGTGCAGAGGGCCAGGGACCATTTGTTGTCCATGTGGTCTGACCTCTACCCTGTAATCAGTCTGGCATGGTGAGACCTGCTGGCCTTCTGCAGAACGGTGTAGTATATCATCGACTGTTTTCTATAAGGCCAGCGTGAAGGAGCAACACTAGTCAAAGTTTGCTTGGCTCCACGTGGCTTCAGATTAAGGCCTCCCATTATCCTACAGGCTGCTGTGTTGTGATAAGCGCTTGTGAGGCAGCCATGTGTCTGCAGGCTGCAGGTCACATCCTTGGGGGGTGCTGTGCACAGCTCCACTGAGAGAGTGTGTGAGCGTCCAGGAATGTGTTGATGGAAATCGCAGCTGAACATATGATTGCTCCAACCTCAGCAGTCATGCTGAGGCCCACCAGCAACAATTTCGCGCATGC